AGGTCCCCTCGCAGCCTTCTCTTCTCCAGGCTGAACAAGCCCAGCTCCCTCAGCCTCTCCTCGTAGCAGAGATGCTCCAGTCCCCTCCTCATCCTCGCAGCCCTGCGCTGGCCTCTCTCCAGTAGCTCCTCATCTTTCTTGAACTGGGGAGCCCAGCACTGGGCACAGCACTGCAGATGGGATGCTGTCACGCCGCTCCTGGCACCGGCCAGGAAAAGCCAGGGTGTTCAAGCCCCACGCTACCGACGTTTCCCAGAAGAAGGATGTCTCCAGGCCTTTGTGGCTGGGCAAAAACCTCGCTGCCTCCACTCCCCTGCCATCACAGACACTCTTCCGTACTCAGAAGGCCACGCAGCAACAAGAACTTGCTGAATAAGGTTAATTTTGAAAACACCAGCGATACCACTGAGCGTACGGACACGGATTTAACAGGAATTGTTTCAGGAGCCGACTCCCCGCAGCTGCTGGGAGCCGTAGCAGCAGCCAAGAGCGATCACTCCGCAGCGTACAAACCAGAAGAGCCCAGCACCCACCCACGCGAGCAGAGAACACGCCTGAGCGCGGGCGCGACTGCAGAGCATCCCCAGGAGAAAGGCGGCTGGGGACAGGGACAGTGGGGGCCCTTCGAAGGGCAACAGCCCTGATGAGGAGTCAGGTGGCCTTCCTCCCGTTACAGGCTCCTGGGCTTGGGATGCTCACAGAGGAGAAAGGAAGGAGTTAAATCAGCTTTTTTTTTTTTTCCTTTTCCTTTAGTTGAACATTAAAAAACCTTTCCCAAGGAAGAACTGGACTTGTCTGGCCAAATACCAGCTCCCACCCCACCAGGGCTTTAACCCTTTGGTCTCAGGAGATCAAATACCCGCCCTTCCTCCAGCGCTGTGCCACTAACCCCGATCGCTGCTGCCCAGACGTGAGCAGGAGAGGCCTCCCCCGCCCAAATCCCAACTTCTGGGACACCCCACAGAGCCACGCGGATGCCCTGGCCTCGGCGACGCATCAAGGCGCCGTGGTCACAATTGGGCAAATGACACAACGCGGAGGACGAACGTCCTCGCAGCTCCACCTCCCAGCAGCGGAACGGCGTTCCCTCCCGCGGAAGGGTTTCTCGCCCGCGCGCGCGGAGCACGGACGCTGTCAGATCCCTCGCACGAGGACGCCCAGCGCTAACCTGCTGCGCCCCGACAGCTGGGGAAATTAATTTAAAGCCTACGCCCTGCACAAATTCCCCCGGCAGCCGGAGGAATGCAGGATGCAACTCTGCACGCACGAGCGCTCGTTTTCCTCATCGGCTTTGACACGGCGACGCTTCGATCCCACGCCGACAGCCCTGCTCTGGCTTTGCCTCGCACAAAACCAATCTGGGCATGAAAGAGCCCCAGCCCAGCCGCGTCCTTCCTGCACGTTCACCGAATCCCAGAGTGGTCGGGGTTGGCAGGGACCTCTGGGGTCCCCCACCCAACCCCCTGCCCAAGCAGGGTCACCCAGAGCAGGGGGCACAGCACCGCGGCCAGGGGGGGCTGGAATATCTCCAGAGAAGGAGACTCCACAG